GACACATACCACACATAAAGTGAAAGGTCAGAAGACATACCATTGACTTTTGTTAATTAATTATAGTTTCAACTTCAATTTTGAAAATTGTAATAACAGCCTAGTTTTTATTCCATAATCCACAGAACTTGAACATCCATGCGGAATGTACAAATTATTGACTTTTCGAGTGAAGTTATCTTCTTATGTCTAGCCTGGCACAGACCGTTCAAGATTACACTGTTAGCACCAACACTAACAGTCATGGTGGCAGGATGGATCCAGCATGACCTGGTAGGGGGGGTGGTGGTTTTGATCTGCCAGCTCTAATGCCAAGTTATGTTGGTCATGTACGCCACCTGCCCATCAACTTACAAGTCAAGCAGGGCCGTAGCTAACATGCATAGGGGGGAGGGGGGGGTGTAGGCCAAAAATTTCAGAATGACGAAAAAAGGAAGTTTTGACAGAATTCTGATGGTCAGAAAACAGCATTTTGGTATGTCCAAATTTACAATTTGCTTACAATTTATAGTAGTACCAAATGGGCGAAGGCGTATTTAATTAACATATATTTCGGGGAAGTTGCAGGAAAGTATGGGTAATATGATTCTTTGCAGTTTGTCAAGGATAATGTAGCGGCTTAAAATTAAATTGTCAGTATTTTAAGGTATATTATTTAAATGATAAAGGTCTGCATGATTTTGAAAAAAGAATATTATTAGCAAATTAATGGGAGGGCTGCAGCCAGCCCGGCCCTCCCCCCGGTTGTTACGGCCCTAAGAAGTAATAAACCGAAAAAAAATTTACCGATTTACAATTTGTTAAATGTTATCCATGTAAATGCCATGATTTCATAAATCAGTTTATACTCACAATACAATTATATTATATTTTCTCTGTTCAACAACTACTGAATTTTGTTATACTATTATTGCCGTAATTTTCCGAATGGCCAACCCGATTTTCCAAATATGTAAATTCTACAAAAGTTGGGGGGGGGTTTAACCACCTCCCCAATACCCCCCCCCCCTCGCTATGGCCCTGAAGTCAAGTCTTGCTTGACTACTGTATTTGAATTGTAATTGTTGTTCATAGTTTGATTATTATCATGTTATCACTCAAATCACTGTATCTCATTTTGTCTCTAATATTTTTTTTGCTTTATCATGAAAAATAGCACCCCCCCACTGGCCAGGGCTAGGGGGTGCACCCCCCAGTAAATCCATTCCAGCATACAGTTGGGTTTATAGGGGGAGGGGACGGGGTTGACAGAGGTACACTCTTGGCCAACAGGGGAGTGTAAAAATCGAAAGGGGAGGGGGCGCTACAAATTGAATTTCCCATACCTCTGGGCATTTGAGATATTGTACAGTATATAATTAGTATTACAAATATATTGTCGCCATGTAACCTTAGATATTTCATGTGGTATGTGTAATTGGGGTTAGTACCCTAAGTATCTTACTCCTCAAGCAATGCCGGGTTCAGAGTCCTCACCTGTTCGCCAGTAGCATGCCCCCAAAACAACCTGAGTGCCCGGGCTGAATCTATCATTGCTAAAAAGATTATGATTATAATCAACAATATACAATTTTTTTGCCAAATTGTGTGCCAACATACAAAATGGACTCTGCACAGGTTGTGCACTGAGTACCTTTTCATTTCATACTGAGTGAACATTATCGTGAGGATAGCAAAAAAAACAAATTCACAACTAATGTGTCCTCTTTTACTACTTTCCTAATTGTCTTGTTTCATGAACTAAATAAGCTAACACACTTAGTAGCTCATGCTTACCTTTTAACCGGCACAAGCAAGGGCCGGCCCATTTTTCTTTATAGTGATGTCAGGTGTGCAAGTTATTCAATAGGGTATTTATAACCTTGTATACATGAGGGCCTAGCTTATATCTGGGCAGGATGTTACAAGGTCATCGCAAGTAAATCAATATTGGGGGGACTCAAGAATATATCTGAACAAATTTTAATTGATTTTGCACTTTTCTAGTTATTTTGTGTGTTTTGCTTATACAAATGGAAATTATAGGGGGGGGGGGGTCAAGCCCCCCATTTCCGACGGCCTAGCTTGTGTTACAATTGTGACATATTGCCAGCTGCCATTAATTAATAGTTTGCAAAATTGTGAAAAATAAATCAATGCTGTAGCTAGATTGCAAGTGGTAATGCACTTTCTCCATTGGCATTATAGACATAATACACACAAAATTCCAAAAGACCAATTAACTTGGTAATCCCGAGTATTCCATACTCATTGAGAAATCAGTCAGATGCAATTGTACCCACCCTCTGGTCGACCCTTGCCACTAGACGTTTCTGTACCTTTGCCCTGCATATCATGGTTTATGAACTCAACATTTTATGATTGAATTAGCTCTTCTACAATGATATTTTATGCTCAAGTAAATAGACAGTAGTACAGCAAGCTGGCTGGAATATGGTCAGAGGTTCACTCCTCAGTGGCACAACTCTTGAGGGCTGTGCCCGGCAAGAGCCAGGGGCCCAGGGGGTGTGCCTTGTCATGGAAGGTCCCTGGGCTAACCTTTATGCAGTGTTTGGAAATTTTAATTTAAATAATTAATTTAATTAATAAATTAAATTAATAATTAATTAATTAATTAATAATAATTTATAAACAAATTAATAGTAAATAATAATTAATAATTATTAATTAATATTTAATTATTTATTTAATTAATTAATATTTTTAAAAAATTTTTTAGCTTAAAAGCCGACTCCCTGCCTACACTCTGAACAGTACGGCAAGGGGGCCCTTGACGGGGTGCACTAGACTTCATCCTATCCATAATTAAGGCTCTGGGAAATGAGTACCCCATATGCCCCTAGTATCTAATAGAGTGTGAATTTCAAGTTGTGAAATAAATGGAAAGTCCTATTTTTGCAGGGTATATCCTTGACCCAAAAAATAGATTGATGATGTGATCAGTTTTAACTTCTTAAAAACAATATCTATATAAATACTCTAAATCACTGAACTTTACCCAGAAATAGTTAAATACTTTGCATTCCATGGTCTATGGAATACAAGGCTCATTTGTAGCTTACTGTTTGCAATGAGTAAAATTAATATTGTATTATGTAATGTAATCTTCAAAAATTATGAAGGGCCTCAGAACTCCTCTCCCAACTAAAGAAACACATTAAAAGGGATGGCTTAGGGACAGACCATTAGAAAAGTGATGGGGGGGGGGGGGTGTAGGACATAATATTCCAACCTGTACAATTATTTTTTCAAAATTTTTTTTGAAAAAACTAACTAACATCAATTAAGTTAATTAGGTTCAAAAGAAATTTTCCCTGACAAATTCTTGTTAAAACACGCTTAAAACCCTTTTTTTTGCACCAATATCTGCAAGATTTAGGTTTAGGAAATTTTTTCTCACACCATTACTTATATAAAAAGCGTTCCAAATTATTTTTTTTATTTTTCAAATTTGGGGGCCACCCTTACACTGGGGGCTCGGGGCAAATTGCCTCCTCTGCCCCTCCCCCTGATAGTAAACTTATAACAACAACTCAACTTATAATTTTCCCTATTGAAAAGTCTCTGCACGAATTTTTTTTTTCAAACTTTTGGTGCACAAGTTTTTTTTTCTGTTCAATTTTTATTTTTGCTTCCCTCCCCCCCCCCCATCACTTTTCTAATGGTCCACCCCTTAGTCCATTACACCCTACTGTTAATGACAAACATGAGATTGATCATAAAGTTTGCCTCCACTATGTGTTCTTTTATGTCTTGTTGAAGTACTTGAATATCTGAATTCTTTACAGATATGATATTCATATAAGGTTTTACTCTATTATGTGTGTTTTTGTGACAGTAACTAAATTGTGTGATGTTGAATAATGTTTGTTACACATCTTAGCAAGCCTCATATACAGGATGTGCTTGTCTGTATCATGATTTGTTGCAGTGTACGTTGTTTACAAATTTGCCCATGTTAATTGGTATGTTTGCCAGAATTTATTCACTGCAACATGGCATGCTCACATTACTAAGGTAATTGTGAGTGTGGTGGTGAAAATGCAAGCAATATTGTTCCACTATTCAGTTATAGCACTTTATTTTTTATAATTTATATCAATTATATGATAAAATATCATACGTCTGGCAGTTTAACTTTTTAAAACTGCTAATACTCAGTTTATTAGAATGCTGTCAATTAATGCACTAGCTGTGACCACATTGGCATGTATTATCCTGCTTAAATAATATCATCTTCATCAAGCCAAGTAATTATTTAACCGTAGCTTGCCAGTTTGAGTAAAATAGTCTAAATTGATTTCATTGTTAAATGAACAACCCAGTCACAACCATCACTCACTCAGTATATCCGTACAGATAAGACTTTAATAGTTAATACATTATAACTTTAACTATGTTTGAGAAAAATTCTGTCATAAAATCTTTTTTCAGATTAATCAGATAAAGAATAAGATACCTGGCATTTCAGAATATAAGTTCTACCAACCAAAAAGAATAAAAAGACCAAAAAACAACAATAGAAAATATAGAATATAAACTCCATTTAAACTCCACTCCTTAGCTTGGCGCCATATTGAATTTCGCGGTCGCGCTGGTAAAGGCCTGGGGACTAGGTGCTCTACCGTATCTGAAATAGCCTTCACCGTAACACAAGATCACTGTAAAATCCAGGGGGGGTTGAACTTTGTCGCCCACAGACATTCGAGCCATGGGTCAGTGGAAAGCCCCATGAAAATAGGTCGATTGTGACGTCAAATCCGCCATGTTTTTGGCCACACACTTTCGTCGAGAGCACGATCTCCAGATATATAAGTATAGCTCAGTGATCCATACTCAACTTGCCACGAGAAACGTCAATTTGACGTTTCTTTTTCATACCCACCCACCCACCCTAGAAACGTCAATCCATGGCAAGAAAACAGCAAGTGTGAATACTCAAGAACACTTGTATTAACTTCCATATCATCCTTAGCCTGATAACAGACCTACTTTTCGCCCACCCTAAAATTCGCGGGTTGAGGGAAAGGGCGAAACGTAGGTCTGATGCAGAGGAGGAGTGAGGACTATACCGGCATGCAACGCGGTCAGGCGCGGTTTTTTACATATTATCGATTTCTCGCTCTGCGCCGTCATTGTTCGGTCGGCTTTCGCTGTGTTTACATCTCGGGGTTTCAAGAAATTCAGAAAAGATTTATAGAAAAAAAATGTAAAATGGTGAATTTTTGCACTATGCATGGAAAGAAAGCTTCGTTTTTGGGTGGACACGAGCTTCTGTGTGTTCTGAGGTGTGTTCACTGTGTGTCAAAACAGCCTTTAATCTTAATTTCGGAAGGATTACCGTGTGATGAACTTGAATGTCGTGAGGTTCATGTTTATAGTTCTATGGATAGTTCGATGAATAGTCCTTTGTCCAGCTGTGGTTAACGGGATAAAAATTGATGAATTTGTTTGCTGATTGCGGTAGTCCTGCACTGGTACAAATTCATTCTAGTTGTGTTTTTAAGGTGAGATGATTTTTATATTAAATAAAAATAGAAAAATCCTCCTATGTTGTATTAAAAATACAGCAGTATTATTAAAAACGTATTTTTATTTCATATGTAGTTCTTCGACCCTAATGATCCACGGGAAGGAGGTATAAACGAAGAATATAACAATATTATGTTGTTGGGAGTTTGACATTTCAACATCACCAACATCCCAAATAGTCAAGATGATGAGTTGGATAGTGCACTTCCACCAACAGATTACATCAGCCAACTGATTGTAGCTGTTTTAATTTACCAATAAATCCTGTTTGCCCTGACACACATTCATACACACCAAATGATGGAAGAAGCACCCAGTGTAGAGAATGAAATGGAGGCGATTCAGCACTATCATGACACTATATATAAATGTATTTAATACTACTGTGTGATGCATTGCAAGGATTTATACTGATCAACCAGTTCTATGCTTAAATGATCAACCAGTTGTCTATTATTTTACTCTGCCTAACGCCAGATTATTTTACTGTCTAACACTAGACTATTTACTCATCAGGGGGAGAGTGCTGACACTCAAATACTCAATGGGTTAAAAAAACATTGAAACAAAATGTTTAGCAGAAGCTGCAAAATTGTATATTGGTGTCTGGTGTAATACTGACATTTCTTTTTTTTGTAAGGATAGAGCTGGGGAACCTGTAGTGGTACAGTCTTGGCCCTACCCCGGTTTTCCTGTACTGCGTGTGTTTACGTCACTTCCCTGATTGGGTCGTTCCAGAAAAGATCCATACTCCCCCCACGCAGGAAAGTTCTGCCGTCCGGAGGGGGGGGGGGGCGGAGAAAGATTTGTTTCTGATAATAGTAAATGTATTAGGACGTCCGTAGGGGGTGGGGGGGTTAACTTCCTATTTCCTCTGTGGGGATGGTATGGATGTTTTCTGGAATGACCCATTATACCATAAGTATTGTATCCCATGGACACCATCTTATCAGTTCTGTAGTTTTTTGACAATCTACTGTAAACCTCCAACTATAAGCACTGGGCTTATATTCTTTCGTAAGTGATTTTTGATGGGCTTACACAAGGGGGGCTTATACACGGGGGGGGGGGGGGTATATTCGGAGGTTTATGGTATGTATGGTATTCACGATTTTCAGTGTATAGTCTTCTCTTGCTCATCACAAATTAATAAAAAGATCACACACTACATAATTGATGTTTATAAAATTTATTTATTTTAAAATCGAAAAAATGTTAACATAATATTACTGTACTTAAAAGTTAATTAAAATGGTTTTAAAAAAAAATTATGTGGACAAATAAAGAGAAGTTTTTAAAATGTTGCATTACATTCATTTCACCAGTACACATGAATAGTATATGAGCTTAATGATGTATTAAAACAATCTAGAGGTATTACATAATTGGTAAACCTCTTCAATTGCAATCATTCGCATGATTATCTGCAACAGATATGAATTCAATGAATGCTTTATCTTCCTCGCATGTCCATTTATGAAGTTTTACTGGGAATTTCTTTGGAGGTGTCGGTTTAATCTTTGTGATAGGAAACTACAAAACAAACAGCAAAAGTGAGAGAGGCAATGTCAGTGCCAGCACCATTAGACAACAACAAAGAAACTCATGGATTTTACCAGGATTGTGGGCATGCTTCTCCAGGAAATTTGTGCACTATAGGTTTTCTGAAATGCCACTCCCAGCATTGCAAAATATCATTGGCATACGGGTGGACAGAAATTGCCCAACATTGTCATGAGTTTATTTATAGATGAACAAGAGGTATAAAATAGAAGGAACATAACTCCTATGCAGACTTGCAGAAATTCTGTTTGAAGTCAATCTTAAAACAATTGCCCAATTTTTAAAGCAGAATCCTGCCCAACTGAACACTGACTGGAGGGTTGCAACCCCCAGCCTCGTACGCCTATGGACAGAAATTCTCACAGGCAAAAAAGCATTAAAATACAATGTTATTGTTACTATGATAATAACTTTTAGCCCCCCCCCCATTAACATCTCATTGTCTCATTGACCCATTGAGTGGCAGCACTCTCCACTTGAGGAGTAAAATGGTCTAGCATTAGACAGAGTAAAATACTAAAGTAGGGTCATCAGGGCGTATTGCCACTTAAAGGGTTTAAAATACAATGTTTTTGTACTGTATTTTATGTTTTTAGTCGTACTGTATTTTATGTTTGTAAAAACCTTTGTACTTTTATACCTTTGGTGATGTTCTAGGACTCTGAAACAAAGTTCGACTTGATGTTGAATTCTTCAAACGTGAAATTTGGTGTCTCTTATTATTAGGTTTCCCTGGGGTATCACCTTTAGACGTATATACCCTCGTATATACTCGCTTTTAATATGGCAGTATCATTTCATTCGTCACTAACAATGGGCTATTCCATTTAATATCCGTACCCCCCCTGTCGAGGATACATGTTTTTCATAGTTATACCCCTGAAGAATTCCAAGCTCAAAATCCTTTACCCCTGAAGAATTCCAAGCTCAAAACACTCTACCCCTGAAGAATTCCAAACTCAAAACACTTTACCCCTGAAGAATTCCAAACTCTGAAAAATTTCGATCTCAAACCTCTTTACCCCTGAAGAATTCCAAGCTCAAAACACTCTACCCCTGAAGAATTCCAAGCTCAAAACACCCTACCCCTGAAGAATTCCAAACTCAAAATCATTTACCCCTGAAGAATTCCAAACTCAAAACACTGTACCCCTGAAGAATTCCAAACTCTGAAAAATTTTGATCTCAAACCTCTTTACCCCTGAAGAATTCCAAGCTCAAAACACTCTACCCCTGAAGAATTCCAAACTCAAAACACCCTACCCCTGAAGAATTCCAAGCTCAAAACACTCTACCCCTGAAGAATTCCAAACTCAAAAGCCCTACCCCTGAAGAATTCCAAACTCAAAACACTTTACCCCTGAAGAATTCCAAGCTCAAAATCCTTTACCCCTGAAGAATTCCAAACTCAAAACACTCTACCCCTGAAGAATTCCAAACTCAAAACACTTTACCCCTGAAGAATTCCAAGCTAAAAATCCTTTACCCCTGAAGAATTCCAAACTCAAAACACTCTACCCCTGAAGAATTCCAAACTCAAAACACCCTACCCCTGAAGAATTCCAAACTCAAAACACTTTACCCCTGAAGAATTCCAAGCTCAAAATCCTTTACCCCTGAAGAATTCCAAACTCAAAACACTCTACCCCTGAAGAATTCCAAACTCAAAACACCCTACCCCTGAAGAATTCCAAACTCAAAACACCCTACCCCTGAAGAATTCCAAACTCAAAACACCCTACCCCTGAAGAATTCCAAACTCAAAACACCCTACCCCTGAAGAATTCCAAACTCAAAACACCCTACCCCTGAAGAATTCCAAACTCAAAATCCTCTACCCCTGAAGAATTCCAAACTCAAAACACCCTACCCCTGAAGAATTCCAAGCTCAAAACACACTACCCCTGAAGAATTCCAAGCTCAAAACACCCTACCCCTGAAGAATTCCAAACTCAAAACACCCTACCCCTGAAGAATTCCAAGCTCAAAATCCTTTACCCCTGAAGAATTCCAAACTCAAAACACCCTACCCCTGAAGAATTCCAAACTCAAAACACCCTACCCCTGAAGAATTCCAAACTCAAAACACTTTACCCCTGAAGAATTCCAAGCTCAAAATCCTTTACCCCTGAAGAATTCCAAACTCAAAACACTCTACCCCTGAAGAATTCCAAGCTCAAAACACTCTACCCCTGAAGAATTCCAAACTCAAAACACCCTACCCCTGAAGAATTCCAAACTCAAAATCCTTTACCCCTGAAGAATTCCAAACTCAAAACACCCTACCCCTGAAGAATTCCAAGCTCAAAACACACTACCCCTGAAGAATTCCAAGCTCAAAACACTTTACCCCTAAAGAATTCCAAACTCAAAACACTCTACCCCTGAAGAATTCCAAACTCAAAACACTTCACCCCTGAAGAATTCCAAACTCAAAACACTTTACCCCTGAAGAATTCCATATAATAATGATTTAATAACAGTGTATCCACAGAGTGGCTCTTCAACCATGGGCGTACGGGAATTGAAAAATTATGGGGCGGAAAGAGATTTGCCCTATTTTTTTGGATTGTGTCCGAGTTGTCAAAAGAAAATTTTCAGAGAAACTTTCCAAAACTGTTGTCGGGGGGGGGGTGGAAATTCCTATTACATAGCATATTTCCTACAAAATTGACAGAATTTCCCACAAAATTCACAGAATTTGTCCCATTTATTTTTATAATAAGCCAATATTGCCCGACTGTTTGCCCAACAAACTGGGGGGCTCCCCCCCCGCCCTGTTAGCCCATGTCTTCAACTGCTATAGATTACAAAGTAAAGTTTATCTCTATGTTATCTAAAAAGCATAAGTTAAAATAATTATGTTTATATTTACAGTTATTGTCTACTTATTATGGTTTATCTACTACATATTTGGATAATAAATATGTTCTTAGGCCTCTACAACAGGGCCGGATCCATGGTTTTAGCTGAGAGATGCATAATTCCTCATGTCTTTGCAAAATTTGGAAATCTAGAACCTCGGAAATGCGATTTCCTGCGTTCTGATCGAATTTTTTATATAAATTTCGAATAGAGATTGCCATATTTTCAGCAAAATACGGTGAAAATTTGGATTAAATTATGAAAAAAAACCCCAACATTTTTACAAAATGATGTTACATTACTTTACATGAACTACAGTATGCAGTAAAAAGTTCACAGAGAAATTCACAACATATATTTACAACGCACCATCCTCTCCACTGCTCCACTAACCAATCAAGAATAATGGAAAGTAGATCGAGGTACCGTATGATAAATTCAGTTTATACTGTGGAAAACACTTAAACACAATCATGCAGTGCATCGCCTCTCCCACGTAAATGAATAAGAATAAAGAGTTACTTAAATAGCTAAATAAGCTTCACGTTTCCGGGAACGGCAATTCAAACGGCAGGTTTGAATTTTCTTGCCAAATTTTTTTTGAACGTTTTCGTTTCATATTTTCTATCTTGTGTCGAAAGAATAATTATGTATTTCAGTTTTAAAACGGCAAGCTAACTTGCTCTTTATTACCTGAAACGTATAACGCGAAGCATAAACTCTCTAATACTCCACACCAACAGGATCGTGAAGCTAAACGTTCAAAGTTAAGTATATTCGAACCACTGATCTGAAATAAGACTAAATAAGACTGGATAAAGCATCTGCTGTGCATAAGTGAAGCCAATGGCAGCCATATTGGATGGCCCCACTGTTACTCTAATCTGGTACGTGTTGTGATCATGTTTAACACTTCCTTTACGTTTCTAGTCACTAGTGGGAAAGGACAAATATTGCCTAGATAAGAATTTATCATCAGTGGCCTCTTTTTTCCCCTAAATTTGCCGGTGAATAACTAATGGAGCCATCAAATACGGCCGCCATCAGCCTCATTAGGTGGTGTATAAAACGTCGAAAAGGTTTTGGAAGCTATATTTCACAAGTCACATAGGCGATGATATTTGCTTTATAGTCTAACTGAACTTAAACAGCAAACGATTAGACTGGTCATGAATTTGATTTATAAATCTCATCTCATTACTGGCTTCAAAATCGGATTTCTGAATTCAATAGGATGCTTTATCCAGTCTTATTTCAGATCAGTGATTCGAAGAGATGTCGAGATCACCAATTTAAATGTTCAAAGTTAAGTATATTCAAACAGCAGCAGAGATACCGAGAATATCAAATAACAATGTTCCGAGTAAAGTATCTTTCAAAGGCAGCACGACAAGACATGATGACAGGATCATCGAGTAGCAATGTTCAAAGTAACGTATCTTTCAAAGGCATCATGATGACAGGATCATCGAATAGCAATGTTCAAAATAAAGTATCTTTCAAACGCAACATTATGACAGGATCATCGAATAGCAATGTTCAAAGTAACGTATCATTCAAAGGCAACATGATGAGAGAATCATCGAGTAGCAATGTTCAAAGTAACGTATCTTTCAAAGGCAACATGATGACAGGATCATCGAATAGCAATGTTCAAAGTAACGTATCTTTCAAAGGCAACACGATGACAGGATCATCGCGTAGCAATGTTCAAAGTAACATATCTTTCAAAGGCAACATTATGACATAATCATCGAGTAGCAATGTTCAAAGTAACGTATCTTTCAAAGGCAACATTCTGACAGGATCACCGAGTAACAATGTTCAAAGTAACGTATCTTTCAAAGCCAACGTGATGACAGGATCATCGAATAGCAATGTTCAAAGTAAAGTATCATTCAAAGGCAACATGATGAGAGAATCATCGAGTGGCAATGTTCAAAGTAACGTATTTCTCAAATCAACATGATGACAGGATCATCGAATAGCAATGTTCAAAGTAAAGTATCATTCAAAGGCAACATGATGAGAGAATCATCGAGTAGCAATGTTCAAAGTAACGTATCTTTCAAAGGCAACGTGATGACAGGATCATCGAATAGCAATGTTCAAAGTAAAGTATCTTTCAAAGGCAACATTATGACAGGATCACCGAGTAGCAATGTTCAAAGTAACGTATCTTTCAAAGGCAACATGATGACAGGATCATCAAATAGCAATGTTCAAAGTAAAGTATCTTTCAAAGGCAACATTATGACAGGATCACCGAGTAACAATGTTCAAAGTAACGTATCTTTCAAAGGCAACATTATGTCAGGATCATCGAGTAGCAATGTTCAAAGTAACGTATCTTTCAAAGGCAACATTATGTCAGGATCATCGAGTAGCAATGTTCAAAGTAACGTATCTTTCAAAGGCAACATTATGTCAGGATCATCGAGTAGCAATGTTCAAAGTAACGTATCTTTCAAAGGCAATATGATGACAGGATCATCGAATAGCAATGTTCAAAGTAAAGTATCTTTCAAAGGCAACGTGATGACAGGATCATCGAATAGCAATGTTCAAAGTAAAGTATCATTAAAAGGCAACGTGATGAGAGAATCATCGAGTAGCAATGTTCAAAGTAACGTATCTTTCAAAGGCAACATGATGACAGGATCATCGAGTAGCAATGTTCAAAGTAAAGTATCTTTCAAAGGCAATATTATGACAGGATCACCGAGTAACAATGTTCAAAGTAACGTATCTTTCAAAGCCAACGTGATGACAGGATCATCGAGTAGCAATGTTCAAAGTAACGTATCTTTCAAAGGCATCATGATGACAGGATCATCGAATAGCAATGTTTAAAGTAAAGTATCTTTCAAAGGCAGCATTATGACAGGATCATCGAATAGCAATGTTCAAAGTAAAGTATCTTTCAAAGGCATCATGATGACAGGATCATCGAATAGCAATGTTTAAAGTAAAGTATCTTTCAAAGGCAGCATTATGACAGGATCATCGAATAGCAATGTTCAAAGTAAAGTATCTTTCAAAGGCAACATTATGACAGGATCATCGAGTAGCAATGTTCAAAGTAACGTATCTTTCAAAGGCATCATGACAGGATCATCGAGTAGCAATGTTCAAAGTAACGTATCTTTCAAAGGCAACATTATGTCAGGATCATCGAGTAGCAATGTTCAAAGTAACGTATCTTTCAAAGGCAACATGATGACAGGATCATCGAATAGCAATGTTCAAAGTAAAGTATCTTTCAAAGGCAACATGATGACAGAATCATCGAGTAGCAATGTTCAAAGTAACGTATCTTTCAAAGGCAACACGATGACAGGATCATCGAATAGCAATGTTCAAAGTAACGTATCTTTCAAAGGCAACACGATGACAGGATCATCGCGTAGCAATGTTCAAAGTAACATATCTTTCAAAGGCAACATGATGACATAATCATCGAGTAGCAATGTTCAAAGTAACGTATCTTTCAAAGGCAACATGATGACAGGATCATCGAATAGCAATGTTCAAAGTAAAGTATCTTTCAAACGCAACATTATGACAGGATCATCGAGTAGCAATGTTCAAAATAACGTATCTTTCAAAGGCAACATTCTGACAGGATCACCGAGTAACAATGTTCAAAGTAACGTATCTTTCAAAGCCAACGTGATGACAGGATCAAAATAAAGATTGTCAAAATAAAGATTGCCAAATTAGACAATTATAAACTGCTCGTGTCATATTACGTTAATTAAGAGTGAAGCTTTGAGGGGCATATATATATATATATATATTTTCAGTCACATATATATATTTTCAGTTACATATATATATTTTCAGTCACATGCACCACTCCTCACACAATCTTGGGTAGTCATATAATAGCGAAATAAAACGAAAACGATTGGAACAATTCTTAATTAATTACAATGTCAATCTCGATGTCAATTTGGACGCAAGTCTTGCCTTTTTGTGAACATCACCTTATTCCGTAAGGTGTTTAACATCAGACATTTTTTGTTTTAAATTTTTTCGCATGACGTCTTGTCCTTTTTTTATGTCAGAAAGATAGTATTTTTTAGCGCGATGTAGTTCTTCCAGCTCACGCTTTCTCTTTAGATTTGCTTCCCCAGGCCCAGGGCTATTTTTCTGAGTTTCAACTATACTGGCATTGACTTTTTCTAATTCATTCTGCCTGTTTCGTATTCTTTGGACATTTTTTGAAAGAGTGCTGGGCTTCAATTTACTCTCTTTTGCATGCATGTCTTCAGCTGCATTTAGTAAATCTTTACTTTCCCCAATCAATAAGCCGGTTTGCTCTTTCCTCCAGGCCTCATTAATAATTTGTGCAATATCCTGTTTAGACTTTTTCGTTTCTTTGCACAGCTTTTTCGCTGTGTCATTCCAGAAAAGGCGTCTTTGTTTCTCCATTCCCTTTGCCACTTCAATGTCTTGAGTTGTGTAAATCTTTATACCTCGTACTTCCCAAGAACTTGGACGTCGCAAAAACATGTTTGTTTGTCCAATATTTGTTTTTAATTTCGTTGAATCGCGGTCGCCTTGTGGGGGTCGATCGCCAGAAGTAAGCTCAATGGATAAGCATTCGTTTTCTCCGCTAACTTGTTTTGCAACGCATTCGACTTTAAGAATGCTTTCCTTGCTTAATTCAATTGGCAAGTCTTCATACAGGTACACAAAGCTCTTCAGGCCCAAATCGTCTGCAATTTCATCGCGAAGGTTTGACAAAGTATCTCCCTCATTAAACGCTGGCAAAACGCCAACCGTTTCCCCGTCAAAAACTATTTTGATTGCTTTCATATTCTCTGTTTATAATATAACGAGGTTCTTATAAATTTAATTTTGTTACATTGTCCCGTTTGTTATTTCGTACTTCCGGAAGTTTGCCTTATATGTATAAAATGCAGGAATTCATTTCATAATTCCAATTTCCCAGTCTATCTTGTTATTGTTATATTGTACTGTATGCCATTTGCGTTTTAAAAGCTTGTACTAATTGCGATATATGAATTTACCCAGTTTAAAAGGTTTGGGGGCTAGCACGCGAAAATCAGAGTTTTAGTGATAAAATTTTGTATTTTTGATCTTTACACCCGTTTTCAAAATTACGCGACCAAAGACGAAAATGCTAGAGTCAAATTGACATGTCAGTTTTATGTCATTCGATCACGAAGTTCAAATTTTGAGTTTTGCGGTTCCTTGTCGATGTATATGCTTTGTATGCTTTATATAAACAGACTTACAATGATTTTCAAGATATTTTAGTGAGAATTATTGTAAAATTTAAGCACGACAAAATCATAACATCACCGTTATAGTCTAGCGCGCGTGTTTTATACTGACAGCTATATTCCAGGATAAATTGTTATTTTTCAAACTTTAAAAGTCATTCACGGCACATATTTCTGTTGTGATGGTTTGCATTGTGCTTTAGTTTGTATATCTAAGTTATCTGACTCATTTTTGTTCAGTTTTGGTATTAAATACGGTTTAAAATGTCTTTAGACAGTTTGTTTACGTTTGCTATTTTTAGCAGTTCTTGTGACATAAAACTGACATTTGAAGCAGGAGTATTTTTCAGGGAGGTCGCGTAATTTTGAAAACGGGTGTAATAGCTAGAAAAGCCAAGTTAAATCTAGACCATATGTCTGTCTAGACGGCAGGTATTTTCCGCGGGTAGCGGGTGACGGGTAGCGGGTAGTGCGTGCGTAGCGGGTGGCGGTAGTTCTCGTAATTCACATGTTGAACACATAGAATAATTTACGCAACCTCGTTCCCAGGGCTTTCGTATGAGGGCGAGGCAGAGAGACGAGAAAGCCCTGGTCTGGGCTGGGCCGGTCAATTTTGCATTCTGATTGGCTAACACCATATTGTCTAAAAATAGCTGAATTTGACAGTTGACAATAACAATTTCAACATATGTATTTTTATGATTCTTGTGTGTACGAGTGTATTTTGCAAAATAATCTTTCAAAGTAAGAAGTTTTCGGTT